TGGTGCCTCCCCCTTCCCTCACTGTCCCTGCCTTTCCTTACCCTCCTGGTGCGTCTCCCTTCCCTCACTGTCCCTGCCTTCCTTACCCTCCTGGTGCCTCCCCCTTCCCTCACTGTCCCTGCCTTCCTTACCCTCTTGGTGCCTCCCCCTTCCCTCACTGTCCCTGCCTTCCTTACCCTACTGGTGCCTCCCCCTTCTCTCACTGCCCCTGCCTTCCTTACCCTCCTGGTGCCTCCCCCTTCCCTCACTGTCCCTGCCTTCCTTACCCTCCTGGTGCCTCCCCCTTCTCTCACTGCCCCCTGCCCCCTTTCCCTCTTTCTCCCTCATGCCCACCCTCTGTCCCAGTTCTCCTCATGTCCCTCTGTGCCGTCATGCATGACTTGCTCTATCCCCTGCCATCCTCATGCCCACCCCTCCTTTCAACCCCTCTTCCCCCAGCACCCATTGTCCCTCCCTTCTTCCAGCATCACGCTAACCTCTCCCTTCTCTCACCCCAACTGACACCTTCCCTCCCTTCCCCCACCTGCTCTTTTCCTTATTGTGTCCTCTTGGCCTCCTGGCATTTGTCTCTCCACCACCCTGCCCCTTTCTTCTCCTGCCCTGACCCCTCCCCTCAGTACAAGCCCCTTCCTCTCTTCACCTTGCCCCTTCCCTCCCCTTGTGCCTTCCAGTTTGCAGAGCTGGAGCCTGTGGTCTGGCCTCAGAAGCTCCTGCAGCCCCAGCCCTAGCTGCTCCCAGGTGGGACTGCTTGCTGGGCCTGGAGCCAGAGCTACCCATGGTGCTATTTTTAGTGCCACAGTCCCGTCCCCGTGGGTGGCCTTGGCTCCAGCTGGAATCAAGAGACAGCCAAATGAAATGTGTTCCAGTGAGGCTACCTCAGCTGGAACGCACTTCGCACAGCTGCCGCTGGGAGCCGGGGCTGCCGCTGGGAGCCTGCACTGACACACTAAAAATTGCTCCACAAATGGCCCCCGCTCCAGTCGCAGCACCTGCCAAGCTGAGCATGCCTCGCCCCACAGTGCCCCAGTCGGGCTCTGCATGGCTCCTGCTGGCACTCCAAGGCAGCCCGGAGGAGAAAGAGGCAGGGCTGCTGGACCAGGACTCCGTGCGGCAGTCCTGTGGAGGGACAGGATAGATAGAGGAAGGGGCTGTGTGCCACCAGAAGCTGGCTCAGCTGCCTTATGCGCCCTGCTGGGGGGAGGGAGAGGAGGCTGCTGCACCATGCTGGTGTCCCTATCAGGTAGTAAAATGTCTGGTGGGGCTTTCCGGGACATTTCACTACTTCATGTGGCACTGGTACAGAGCATTCAAATTCAGGTCAGTCCCGGAGAAAACAGGATGTATGGTCAGTGTACTTACTGTCCCCTCACCCTATCTGCTCCCCTGGTGCCTACTGCCCCCCACCCTCACCCTCCTCTGCTGTCCTGTCTCCTGTTGTACTCACTCCCCTCAGCCCTCGTGGGACCTGCCCCACTCCCCTGCACCAGCCCTTCTCTAGCCATACTCTGATCATGTGTAGCTACCCATCCCCTCTCCTAACACCTCCCTCTACCCACCTGCCCTGTCTCTCCCCTCTTGTTGCCCATCTCTCCCCTTCATGTGTCTGCCCTTCTGCTTCATCCCCACAATCCCCTGGCACCTGCACCTTCCCTTAGCCCTGCACCCTCCTGGTGCCTCCCTCTTCCCTCACTGTCCCTGCCTTCCTTGCCCTCTTTCTCCCTGGTGCCCACCCCCTCACCACCCTCTGCCCCAGTTCTCCTCTCACCCCTCTGAGACTTGCTCTATCCCCTGCCATCCTCATGTCCACCCCTCCTTTCAACTCCTCTTCTGGCATCCACTCTTCCTCTCTCCTCTTCTTCCCTCTCGCTCCCATTGTGCCCCCCTTCTCCCACCCCCACTGGTACCTTCCCTGCCCTCTTCCCTCCTGCTCTTTTCCTCTTGTCTCCTGTTTGTCCCTTGGCATTTGTCTCTCCATCACCCTGCCCCTTTTTTCTCCTTCCCTGTGCCCCCTCCCCTCAGCACAAGCCCCTTCCTCTCCTCACCTCCCTTCCCCTTAGTTCTCCCTCTGCCCCTTCTCTCACCTTCTGCCTTCCAGTTAGCGGGGGCTGGAGCCCATGGTCCAACTCCAGAAGTCCCTGCAGCCCCGGCCCCAGCTGCTCCCAGAGTGGGACCATGTGCTGGGACTGGAGCGGAGGCCATGGTGCTATTTTTAGTGCCACAGTCCAGGTCCTCGCAGGCAGTCCTGGCTTCACGAGGCCCATCCCGGTGAGGCTGTCCTGACTAGAATGCACCTCATGCAGCTGCCACTTGGCTCCAACTGGAGTCAGGCTGCCAGTGAGGACCCAGACTGTGGCACTAAAAATAGTTCAACAGGGCCTCCGCTCCAGTCCTGGCACCTGCTGAGCCCAAGCACGTCCCGCCCCTCAGCGCCTGAGCTGGGCTCCACATGGCTCTGGCCGGGGCTTCAGGGTGTCCTGAAGGAGAAGGAGGTGGGGCTGCTGGACCAGGACTCCATGCAGCAGAGGCAGCCAGGTGGTGGGAGGGAGGAGGAGGAGAGAGGAAGGGGCTGAGAGCCACCAGAAGCTGTCATGGCTGCCCTACACGCCCTGCTGGGGGGCAGAGGGAGGAGGCTGCTGCGCCATGCTAGTGTTCCCATCAAGTAGTGAAGTGTCCGGTGGGGCTTTCCAGGACATTTCACTACTTGGTGGGGCACTGGGACAGAACATTTAAATTTGGGACAGTCTTGGAAAAATCAGGGTATATGGTCAGTGTAATTCTAGTACAGCGTCCTCTATTGGTATCCAAAATACTGAAGCTGCCTAATTGTAGTATGAGGGCCTGCAGGCTGTGATGCTTGGGGCTCCCTCTCTTCAGGGGGGTGAGCCAGTGCTGGTGCTCCAGCCACTGAGTGGTGGAGTGCAAGGCTTGCTGCCTCCTTCCCCACATTGTGGCACCAGTTTTGCTCTGCTGTGTGGGAAGGAGGAGCGCCTCTAAGCCTCATGGGCTGGATCCACGTTAGCCACAGGTTGCATCCGGCCCGTGGGTGCTGCCTGGCAAGCAAAGGATGAACAGCAGCACAGGGAAGCTCTAACTCTATGCAGTATCTATAGTCACTTTTAGTTGTAGGAATTGCAGCCAGTGGGAGCATGGGGTGGGGGTCAGTTGCCTGCAAATGCATGGCTATATGGAGCCACTTGCACCCTCTCCTCCCCGATCTGTGCTAGGTATTGTCCCATCTGCTACCCCTTCCTCCTGCCCAGAACATTCGCCCTTTGCCCCATCACTCATCCCCACCCCTCCAACAAAATCTACTCCCCACCCTCCGGCGACCTAGATGGACCTCGCGCCAGCCTCAGGGTATATCACATCCACTGACTTCCCCATGTCCCCAGAGCCAGTTACTACATCATAGAAGCTAATCAGATTGGTCAGGCACGACTTGCCCTTGGTGAATCCCTGCTGACTATTCCTGATCACTTTCCTCTCTGCCAAGTGCTTCAAAATGGATTCCTTGAGGATCCCCTCAGATCTTACATATTTTCCCATCATTACTGCTTCCCACCCCCACTGAAAATATTCCAAATATAAACCAACGCTCCCCATCCTTTTGCAGTCTAGTATGGTTAAATGTCTATAACATTTCATGTCTAATATTTTGCTGCCCTAAATGACTGTTGGAGAGCTGCCTTCCAAATATTGATTTTTGTAATGTGTGAAATATAAAGACCCTCTCTCCACTCATTAGACACTTCCTTAGCATGACTTAAATCCTTCTCTTCACTATGACTAAGCAGCAATTCCTTCTCCCTTGCGCCTCAGCAAACCACGGAAATTGTTTGGCGACACAGCGTGTGCATCCTAAGTATTATTCTTTAATTATTATTATGGCACCTTGCAAAGTATTCTGGGCTAATTAATAGTTTTTTTATCCTGACTCATTCACTGGGATGGCCTCGAACGCAGATGCCTAATTACTGATGTGGTGGCCACTGCTCTGTAATTAGAGGAGGAAGCTGTTGCTAATTCTGCAGTCATTTGTCTTGATCCTCTCCCTTGGCTTGGGTCGGTAAGAATAATTCCCTTAAAATAAGGAGCCTAACTCAAGCCTTGAAATGTACAGCTCTCTCATCGCTTATTTGCCAAGACCTGAGGTCAGTGCGTGGTGTTTCCTCAGCAAGGCGAGTCTACAGAGGTGAAAAAGCAGAGCTGTGTTCTCCCCAGATCCCTGTGATGGATGTGGGGAAGCACAGGACCCCCATGTCACTCACTCTCCAGGGTGTGGGGGTCCTGGCTGGCCAGCCTTCACCTTGCAGCTCCCTCTGTGAAGGATTTAGGAAGTGCTGGAATCCAGGTATTAATGGAAATCAGAGAGCCTCTAACTCAGCCTAGGCAGGTACAAGCATTTTTTCCATAGATTTTCGCAGCTCTCTTGGCTGTGGAAATCCAGTGTTCTGGGTCCCCTAGAAACATCCTCCTGGGCCTCCTGCCACAGCTATTGACTATTTCACTGGCACGGCTACAACTTGACAGTCAGAGGTTGGATACTTTTTATAGTCAAACCAAATCTTTAAAATAAAAATGAGCTGAGTTTGCTTCCTATAGTAAACTTAAAAGAGCCGGGTTGAGGGGGAAGCTCATTGAGCATGCCGTGAAAGCAAGACAATAGAATTAATACCTTTAGGAGCAAATATCTCAGTTCCTACCTGGACACCAAGGGTTAAAGAGCAGTATAAAGTGCCCCAGGAACCTGGAGGAGACCTTGTTGCCCGAGATGATCTTCAGAGTCAGTTTGTAGCGTCCAATTACTGCATTGGCTGGGCTGCATATTGCAATGTTCATGTAGTCAGGCTCGCTGGGTTCCTGAACCGCACTCCAGCCACTGGCCTTCACCTCGGAGAGGTTAAAGGCAGCCTTAGTGTGATGGGCCTCTGAAGGGGATGGCCCTGCCAGAGAGAAGAGGGGACAGCAGCGCTTACCAAGGATGGATACTTACCACTGGGTCACACACAGAGAGGGGGTGCGGGCACAGATCTCTCATGCACAGCAAGAGACACAGGATTACACAAACGTGATACGAGTATCTGTGAGCAGGATGAGGGGGGGCTGACATGGGGAAAGCTGAATCCTCCGTCAGGGGGTTAGCAGAGGAGTTACCTGTTTCTGTGACAAATGCTATTTTCTCCCCCCTCTGCCTTGGCCTGTTGAACCACAAGGCCATCACGAAGGTCTGTCCTCTCCTCATGACCGGCTCTTTGTGGGCATATCTGTCAGTGCAGTGAGAGCTAGTGTTGATGTTCCGTTGCCAGCTGATGTGTGTTGGCGTTAGGTCTGTAAATAAGAGAGAAGAGGTGGGAAAGGGCCAGTATATTTAATTCCCAGAGGCAGAAGTCAGTCACTGGCAGGAGGGACCTCCCTGAGGCTGGAAAAGTCACAGAAGCAGGGATTTTGCTACCAGAGGAAGATTGGGTTGAAGGGAAGATTGCCTGGTGCCGTACCTAAGCCTAGTGGTCAACAATGGCTTGCAGAGCTGCTTGTGCTGCGTTTTCTTATGTTAATCTCACACCCCATGTCATATAATGAAGTCATTAAAAGAAAAATACTGCTACATCATTATCATCCTTAAATGTAAACCACTTTACAGGTGGCATTTCAGAATAGAGAGCTGAATGAACACTAGTCCCTGAAGTTCTAGGAACGGGGAATACTGCCTTTTGGCGACAAAACAGTAGGGGCATTCAAGTTGCAATGTGGCTTTTGCTGGGGAAAACTCCCAGTTTCAGCAACAAAAATTTTCCATCCCTATAAGAGACTTTTGTCTTTTCTTCTCCCTTTATTGTCATCAAAGAGCCAGTGTAGACTTTGCTGTTTGTTTTGTTGACAGGGCTGGCTTCTGCCAGTATCCCATAATGACTGTCCTGATTGCTTTTAGGGGCATTCAAGTTGCAATGTGGCTTTTGCTGGGGAAAACTCCCAGTTTCAGCAACAAAAATTTTCCATCCCTATAAGAGACTTTTGTCTTTTCTTCTCCCTTTATTGTCATCAAAGAGCCAGTGTAGACTTTGCTGTTTGTTTTGTTGACAGGGCTGGCTTCTGCCAGTATCCCATAATGACTGTCCTGATTGCTTTGATTCGTGTCTTGATTACTGCTGCTCTGCAGGCCTGGGACCCTCCCCTTTCAAAGCTCCGGGAACTGTCTGACAGCTGAGTGAGCTGCTCCATGTGGGAAACAAACAAAGAGCAAATCATTGGAGTGCTCTTGTTCTGCCCTGCAAGGAGCACAGCAGCAGGCAGACTGCTGCAGGGGGATGGATACAGGCACCAAGCTGCTCTGACGTTCCTCAGCACGGAGAGCTCACAAAGCTACTCCTGATGCCGCTCCTGGCAGCTGAAGAGGGAGAACTCAGAGGGGATCCCAGGATGGGCAGGGAGCGGCTTTGCCTTCCCACAATGCTGCCCTGTGGGATACTTAGCCACAGTGCACTGCTCACTCAGTCGATGATGATGCCTGCAGTGTTCACGTGATCTACGGACAGGGAACACGTGTGAACACCCTCTGGTGATTTTTGTTTTCTCGACTTTTCGGTGTTGGCATAAATGTCAACAAAACTTGGTAGTGTAGCTGTGGCTGAAGGAAGGTTTCAAAACTTCTCAAGATAATTAAATCCAAAGCAGATTGTAAAGTGCTTCAAAAGGATCTCGTAAAACCAGGTGACTGGGCAGCAAAAATGCAAATGAATTTTCACCTTGATAAATGCAAAGTAAGGTGCATTGGAAATCATCATCACACCTATACATACAAAATGATGGGGAAATTAGCTGTTCCGACTTGAGAGAAATCTTGGAGTCACTGTGGGTAGTTCTCTGCAAACATCCACTCAATGTACAACAGCAGTCAAAAAAACAAACAGAATGTTAGCAATCATTAAGAAAGAGAGAGAGAATAAGACAGAGAATATCTTATTGCCACTATATAAATCCATTGTATGCCCACATCTTAAATACTGCATGCAGGTGTGGTTCTGTCATCTCAAAAAACGATATCTTGGTATTGGAAAAAGTTCAGGAAAGGGCAACAAAAATGATTAGGGATTGGAATGGCTGCCATATAAGGAGGAATTAATAAAACTGGGACTTTTAGCTTTGAAAAGAGGAGACTAAGGGGGATATGTTAGAGGTCTATAAAATCATGAGTGGTAGAGAGAAAGTAAATAAGGAAAAGTTAATTACTTGTTCCGATAATACAAGAACTAGGGTCATCAAATAAAATTCATAGGTAGCAGGTTAAAAACAAACAAAAGGAAATATTTCTTCACACAATGCACACTCAACATGTGGAAGCAAAATGCAGGACAATGTAGCACTTTAAAGACTAACAAGATGGTTTATTAGATGATGAGCTTTCGTGGGCCAGACCCACTTCCTCAGATCAAATAGTGGAAGAAAGTAGTCACAACCATATATACCAAAGGATACAATTTAAAAAAATGAACAAATATGAAAAGGACAAATCACATTGCAGAACAGAAGGAGGAGGCGGGGGGGTGGGAAGGGGGAGGAAGGAAGGTAAGTGTCTGTGAATTGCTGATATTAAAGGTAGGGAGAGTGGGATGTTTGTGAGTTAATGGTATTACAGGTGATAATTGGGGAAACTGTCTTGATAATGGGTGAGAAAGTTCAAAGACTTGTTAAGTCCCTGGTGGTAAGTGTCGAATTTTAACATGAATGACAGTTCAGAGGATTCCCTTTCAAGTGCAGATGTAAAAGGTCTTTGTAGCAGAATGCAGGTGGCTAAGTCATTTAGAGAGTGTCCTTTCTGGTTAAAGTGGCAAGAAACTGTTTTCTCTTTGTGATCTTGTCTGATATCTGTTTTGTGGGCATTAATCCTTTGGCGAAGTGTCTGAGATGTTTGTCCAATGTACATAGCAGACGGACACTTTCGGCACATGATAGCATAGATTATATTTCTGGATGCGCAGGAATATGTGTTCTTGATCTTATAACTCACTTGGTTAGGTCCAATAATGGTATCAGCAGAATGAATATGTGGACAAAGCTGGCAACGGGGTTTGTTGCAAGGGAAGGTACCAGGGTTGGTATTAGTGTGGTATGTCCTGTGGTGGTTGGTAAGAATCATCTTGAGGTTAGGTGGTTGTCTATAGGAGACTATGGGTCTGTCTCCCAGAGCCTCTTTGAGTATGGTATCCTGTTCCAATATAGGCTGTAGTTTATTGATAATGTGTTGGACAGGTTTAAGTTGGGGGTTGTAGGTGATGACAAGTGGTGTTCTATTGTTGGTTTTCTTGGGTCTGTCTTGAAGTAGATGGTTTCTAGGTATTCGTCTGGCTCTTTCAATTTGCTTTTTTATTTCTCCGGGTGGGTAGTTGAGGTTTATAAATGCTTGGTAGAGATCCTGAAGCTTCTGGTCTCTGTCAGTGGGGTTAGAGCAGATGCGGTTGTATCGAAGGGCTTGGCTATAGACGATGGATCGTGTGGTGTGTTCTGGATGGGAGCTGGATGCATGTAGGTAACTGTATGAGTCAGTGGGTTTTCTGTAGAGAGTGGTGTCTAATTTTCCATTGTTGATTTGTACGGTGGTGTCCAGGAAGTGGATCTCTCGTGTAGAATGGTCCAGGCTGAGGTTGATGGTGGGGTGTAGGTTGTTGAAATCTCTGTGGAATATCTCCAGTGTTTCTTGGCCATGTGTCCAGATCATAAAGATGTCATCGATGTACCGTAGGTAGAGGAGGGGTGAAAGGGGACGGGAGTTGAGGAAACGTTGTTCTAGGTCAGCCATAAAGATGTTAGCATACTGTGGGGCCATGCGTGTACCCATGGCTGTGCCGCTGATCTGGAGGTATAAGTTGTTCTCAAACTGGAAATACTCAATGGCTATTAGCCAGGCTGGATAGGAATGGTGTCCCTAGCCTATGTTTGTCAGAAGCTGGGAATGGGTGACAGGGGAGGGCTCATTTGATAGTTACCTGCTCTGTTCATTCCATTTGGGGTGCCTGTGATTGGCCACTGTCAGAAGACACGATCCTGGGTTTGATGGATGTTTGGTATGACCCAGGATGTTATAAGAGGTACACAGGTTTAACAAGGAGTAGTGGGATTAGATAAAGAAGCTAAATATAGAATATAATTTAGGCTGAATAGCTGGAAAAACTTAACAGTTAGGCGCCAGAAGAGTCTACTGAGGGAAAAAGTTTTAAAAACTAGGTTGAGCACATTTCTTTTTTCTCTCTAATTAGAAGATGAAGACCTCTTCTTAGGGTCCAATTCACTGTTGTCCTACACCTTGATTGGTCATTTACACTAGTTCAAAGTAGGTGTAAAATGCCAGTGTTCCAATTTGTAGTATATTAATGACTATGAAATAGTATGAATGATTCCATGGGTTGGAGGGCAGCAGTTGAAACCTTAGTTTCTACATACAGTCTGCATGATGGACACACACAAGTCTACCCTAGGACAGCTGGCACTGAACAGAGCTCTTGGCACCAATGTTCCTTCTAATTTTTTTCATCCATGTGTAAAATAAATGTTATGTACACCAAGGCATGTGCAGAGGTGCACCACTAGTAACAACACATGCTGGCAGCGGTGGAGGCTGTCAGAATTCTGCTAAATCAGCTGGGCGGCATTTGAATCACTCTTGGCTGGCTGCCCGAGCGCTCAGCTTCCAAGGAGCGTTGCCGGGCGTCACTGTAAACTCCTGTGAAGAAGAATTGGGTCTTGCATAAGACCTTGTGCAGGCCTTTTGCACAATTTCATCCTTTAAGAACATTTCCTAACACTGTAGATTTGAACCATCTATTTTGCAAATATGGCTGACAGTAATAACAAACCATTTAAAAATGCAGCCCAGTTGTAAAGTACAGTGCAAAACGCCCTCTGAAAGAAGCCATCTAGGCAGACACTTCCAGGAAACGTCTCTTAAGAAAACAGTCTAAAGGAAGTCATTAAGAGCCCGAAGAGCACTCAGATTTCGCAATGAACTCACCTGCCATTCTCTCTGTGTGTGAGCTGTATATATCTTCTACTTTAGTTCCTCAAGGAAATCTCATCCACACTAATAACAATTATCAGAGTGTGCGTCTGTCATCTAAAATCCAGCGACTGGTGAGGTGCTTGGCAGTTGTAACTGATGCTGGTAAACTTATAAAAAACAAATAGACGCTTTCTATAATTTATGTCAGTGTAATGCCAATTTTCCTGCTTAGCGTGGGGTGTAACTGTGGGAAGAGAATGCTGGGCATGCCCTGATTAAATTACATTGCGGGATGAGGAAATCGTGATGAGGGAAGGGGGGAATATGAGCCCTATGGAAGGAAGGAGCGTTCTGTCTTTGGTTTGGCAGCAAAGTATATGATACATATATTGTTTGCAAAAAGCTGGTTTTGTACAATGCTGAATGTCCACCTGGAACAAGTTTATAACTGCTCTGTCTGCTGTATCTGCTTTGGGAATAACTACAAGTTGTCACTCCAATTTTCTATCATATAGATTTGGCTAGCACCCATCACTACAATATGCAATCACTTCTAAATGCAGGAAATAAAGTATTATTTGTGGGGAAATAGCTCCTGTCAGCTCCAGCAGCCTTTTCTTAGCTCTTCTTAAAGACCTAACAAGAAAGCTGTCTGCTTTTTCAGTTTCAAAGATTAAAAGCGAGGAGGAAACAGGACAAATCACAGGAATTATTTTTCACACTAAGTTGATAACTAAATTACTTCTTAGATGATTTCCCAGAATTGTTTTTAGAAATCTCCTTGTTTAAATAGAATCATGTTTGAAAATCTCCTGTAGTGGAAACTGCTAACTATGTTTTTCTCAGTTGGAGCCCTAACCTGATGATGTAGATTAGAATTCATAAAAATGGATCAAATTTGACTGTGGAGGAAATCAGGAGGCTTCAAAAGTTGAGGGCAGCTTGTTTATTTCAGTTCTTTAATCCTTAGATTAATAAACATTCATATTCCTAGAAGCTTCAATATCTGTTTGAACCTTTCTATTTTATCCTCCAAAAATGATCGTTTCAGCATTCAATGTAGCCCTCTGGACTTGGTTCAAGAAGAGGGACATTGCCTACTTTCCACATACATAACCCTCCCAATAGTCCCAATGCTTCCTTATCTCTGCTGAGATTTGGATTTCAGAGAGTCCTCCTTTTGTTGTAACTGGTTGGAGTTTAGGCTGTTCGGACTCTCAAAACTCCCACTGGGAACTCCCTTGAGCTCCTTTGATTGCTGCTCATGGAGTTCAATCAATTTTCTCCTCCCCCTCTGAGATTCACCCTCCTTTATATCCATAAGGGCCGCAGGGTCACTTAACTTGGACCCAAGACACAGTCTAAAAATAGACATCGACCAGTTCTAATGCTCAGGTACTCCGTACTCAAAAGTGCAACATCTTAACCAGTTTTCCTATTATCTCTGGAATATGACTCTCATGTTTTAAGCCTTGTGTGTATTACTTACAGCATTCATTAAATCACATAACATTTTTCTGCATCAGCTCCATCTACCTCATTGGCAATTGTAGGCCCCCAACTGTGGTGTTCACCAAGACACTATAAATCTCTTAAACAAAAACGACCCCAATCATAAAAAGACAATGACCATCCTACTCCTTCATTCACTCACCACTCTTAAGCATTGGCAGTGGTTTCTGGAATCTCTCTGGAAAACGTCGGTCTTCCAACTAACAGTGTTCATTAAGTTACAGGCATTTTGTCTCCCTCAGCTCCACCCTCTCATTATGAACAATGGTTCCGGGTATGTTGTACCTGGTTTCCGTCAGTTGTGACACTCTGAAGATGCTGTTTTGTGCACCTTCTCTTCTCCTTGTTTCATAACTCAGAGAATCACCACAACGCTTTACTGCTGCCGTTGTAAATTCCTTGCAATCCATTTCCTCTCCCTTTGTGTGTGTCTCTCTCTCTCCACATTCTAGTAATGAGAATCATAAAGTTTCAATCTTTGTTTATTTCGGTACTCTTGGCATTTCGGTAAGGACATTCAAGTATGTTAACATTTGTAAAACAGCAGACTAAAAAGAAAACAACCCCACCTCTGCCTTACTTCGTATTTTGGAAGTACATTTGGTACAAGCCTGAGCAATTGGTAAGTTATATTGACAGATGTGCTAGTGTTGACCTTGTGTTTTTTCACCTCTCTGAACCAGTGGGGCCAACAGCCTGGCCAGGCCTCTGGGCAAGGCAGGGCCCTGCTTCAGGTTCAGAAGAGGTGGAGCCCCAGGTGGATGAGGTGGTGCTGGGGTAGCCAGCCCTCAGTGCCATCTGGACCGCAGCACACTCCCCGCCTTAGAGCCACCCAGAGCATGCAGCGTGGTGCTTCAGTAGCGATTGAAAGGGCCCGGGCCTTTGGCCACCACCCGGGAGCTCTGGGCCCTTTTGTATATCCAGGCACCAGGGCAGATGTCTCCTTTTGGCGGTCCCGCCCCCGCCTCTCTCCTATTGGTGGCCCCCTGCCCCTGCCCCTCTCCTGTTTGTGGGCCTGCCCATGACAATGTAAGTCAGTGGTTTTCAAACTATGGATCGCAACCGAGCACTGGGTGGTGGAATGTCGGGCGCTGGGTCTCGTTGCTCTAGGGGGATCGGGTGACCAATGGGAGGGGCTAAGATAGCTACTTGCCTGTCCAGCACCACAGACTGCGCAGCAGCCCCAGCGCCTCGGTGTGTGTGTGCGTGGGGTGTGTGTGTGGCATCAACACTTTTCTTCAACTGGGTCATGAGAAAAAAGCTTGAAAACCGCTGGCTTACACTGTCCTGAAAGAACCTGGGAGGAGGGAGGCAGTATTCAGAGAAACCCGTAAGTACCAGCTGGGGAGGAGGGGTTGGTACTGGAGCCCCTGACTGCGCTTATTTAGGAAGGAGCGCTGGAGAATCCCGAAGCTGACTCTACGGATCAGTTTGGCTGTGTCTATACTAGCACCGTTGTTATAACTTACACCAGTGATTCCAAACTTCTTGTCTCAAGACCCAGCTGATGCCGTGACCCAGCGTGATTTGAATGTGGGCTTTGAGGCTGGGCTGAGGGTGAGAGCTTTGAGGCATAAGAGGGGGCTCTGGCGTTAGGGGAGAGTCAGGATGGGGACAGGAGGGGCTTGCTTTGAACAGCTCCCAGTCAGCAGTGCAGTGGGGGGGGGGGGGGAGGCAGCTTTCTGCCTCTCCCGGCCCCACAGACCATGCTGCAGCCAGCAGCAGGTTCCCAGCCAATGGGAGTGCAGAACTAGTGCTCAGGGAGGGGCAGTGCATGGAGCCCTGTGCACTCTCCCCTTCCAGCGCCATCACCAGTTTTGGGTCGTGATTCATAGTATGAAAACTACTGGTCTCATCAACCTAGATATTTGCCACTCTCCATGGTCGTGTTACAGAGCTCTTGGGTCGGGATTCCTCACCAGGGCAGAAAATCTATTGTAGTCACAGCTTCCCGTGATACTTTGTACAGCTTTCATATCTTGGAGCCTAGGTTCTGAAACCAGTTCAGAATAATCAGTGAATCCTCGCAATGATCCAGGGAGTGGGGGAATGCATCTAATATTTACAGACTAGAGAAACGGACTCACAGGGGGCTCAGTGACTTGCCTGGAGTTACACAGTGAATCTGTGGCAAAAGTGGGAATAAGGCAGAGGCCACCTGACTTCCAGCCTCATCCTTTTGATAATAAAATATCCAATTCCTAATAAGGATGGAAGCCTCTATTAAGGCCTTCTGCATTGACAGTTCTTCACAGTTGCCATTGTGTCTGTCTTCTCTCCTGTAGCTATGACACACGTGAACTTATCCTGAGAGGTCCTGGTCGTGATGTCTTTCAATTTGTCTGTTTGGCCTTGATTTTTTTAATTAATCTCTTAATTTGTTGACAGTGCTAAGTGTCCACTCTTTGGCTTCTCAGATTGCCTTGGAACTCCCATTACAGCTCGTAAAGGGCATGATTCTTCACCTGCATATGCAAGTAAACTTATTCATTTTTGGGTTGCACTGATGTGAGAGATGAGTCAGGCGTGGAGCCTTGACAGCTGCCTGAGATGCACCCACTTATTACTGCCATGGGTCACTAAGGCTTGGTACCCAGAGCTAAACAGGCCCCCAGTAGGCCCAGGTCAGCTGACTTGAGCGCTGGCTCGAGGACTGAACAATCATGGTGTAGAGACTTGGGCCAAGCTCTAGGCCCCTGCTTGGGCTCCAGCCTGAGCCCAGAGGTCTGCACAGCAGTTTTTCAGTCCCAGAGCCCAAAGTGAGATGAGGCAGGCCAGCTGTGGGGTTTAAACCCTGTAGAGCCATAGCCTCGCTCTGCTGTTACCTAATCCAGGGGTCTCAAACTCTTCCTGAGAGACCCCTCAACAAGCTATAAAACCTGCAGGGCCCAGAAGGCCTAGGCTTCCCTTGGCAAAGGCTTCCCTTCTCCCCCTACCCCCAGTAGCAGGGCTGGTAGGGCTCAAGCCAGCACCACACAGTGGGGTCAGACAGGTGCCACATCCACCCTGCCTCACAGGCTGCCTGGGCTGTGGGGGACATGCCCCAAACTATAAATCTAATGGGGAACTCAGTTCAAAGATGTTGCGAACTGCCCAGGCTGCACAGAAGCAGTAGCTGGGGAGTGTTATGAGCAAGGCAGAGGCTTCCCTGTGTGGCTCCCAGCTTCAGCCCCCTGCTGCTGCCAGTGTTGGAGGAAGGGGAGGTTTGCCAGCTACAGCCCCATGCTGTTCCCACCTGGGGAATGGGGAGTGGCATTGGCTTCGGCCCTGAACCACACCTGGCTTCAGAGGAGAGGTGGAGGACGTGCTGCTTCCAGCCCCAAGTTACTCCCAGCTTCAGCACTGGGGCCGAGGGCACCAGATTTCAGCTGGGAGGCTCTGAAAGGGCTTGTGGCTCCTGGAGTACAGACCCCCCAGCTGAGAACAGCTGACCTAGTCTGCCCAGAAAACGACCTAGAAACAAATGATTGGAATATCGGTATAGAAGGGTACAGCTTCCGCAAGGACAAGGCAGGCCTATTGCTCAGTGAAGAGGAAGAAATAATAACATTAAATTTGGAAATGGCAGAGGGGCTTAATGACTTCTTTGTTTTGCTCTTCACCAAGAAGTCTGATGATGAAGGAATGCCTAACACAGTGAATGCTAGTGGGAAGGGGGTAGGTTTAGAAGATAAAATAAAAAAAGGAAAAGTTAAAAATCACTTAGAAAAGTTAAATGTCTTCAAGTCACTAGGGCCTGATGAAATGCATCCTAGAATACTCAAGGAGCTGATAGAGGAGGTATCTGAGCCTTTAGCTATCGTCTTTAAAAAATCATGGAAGACAGAGATTCCACAAGAGTGGAAAAGGGAAAATCTAGTGCCCATCTATAAAAAGGGAAATAAGAACAACCCAGGAAACTACAGACCAGTCAGTTTAACTTCTGTACCCAGAAAGATAATGGAGCAAGTAATTAAGGAATTCATCTTCAAGTATCTGGGAGAAAATAAGGTGATAGGTAACACTGCTTTTCCAATAGAGAACAAATCATGTCAAACCAATCTGATAGTTCTCTTTTATAGGATAACAATTCTTGTATACAAGGGAGAAGCTGTGGACATGGTATATCTAGAGTAGACTTTAGTAAGGCATGACCTTCTTGTCAATAAACTAGGGAAATACAACCTTGATGGGGCTACTATAAGGTGGGTACATAACTGGCTGGATTACCATTCTCAGAGAGTAGTTATTAACAGTTCACAATCCTGCTGGAAGGGCACAAAAAGTGGGGTTTTGCAGGGGTCTGTTTTGGGACTGATTCTGTTCAATATCTTCATCCACGATAGATGTTGGCATAGAGAGTACGCTTATTACATTTGCAGATGATACGAAGCTGGCAAGGATGGCAACTTCTTTGGAGTATAGGGTCATAATTCAAAATGATTTGGACAAACTGAATAAATGGTCTGAGGTAAATAAGATGGAGTTTAATAAGGACAAATGCAAAGTGCTCCACTTAGGAAAGAACAACCAGTTTCACATACAGAGAATGGGAAATGACTGTCTAGGAAGGAGTACGGCGGAAAGGGATCTAGGGGTCGTAATGGACCACAAGCTAAACATGAATAAACAGTGTGACATTGTTGCAAAAGAAGCGAACGTGATTCTGGGCTGCATTAACAGGAGCTTTGTGAGCAAGACACGAGAAGTCATTCTTTCTACTTTGCACTGATCAGGCTTCAGTTGGAGTACTGTGTCCAGTTCTGGGTACCACATTTCAAGGAAGATGTGGAGAAATTGGAGAAGGTCCAGAGAAGAGTATAAAAATGATTAAAGGTCTAGAGAACATGACCTATGAGAAAAGACTGAAAGAACTGGTGGTGTTTAGTTTGGAAAAGAGAAGACTGAGAGAGAACATGATAGTGGGCTTCAAATATCTTAAAGGATGTCACAAGGAGGAGGAAGAAAAATTGTTCTCCTTGGCCTCTGAGCATAGGACAAGAAGCAATGGGCTTAAATAGCAGCAAGGGAGGTTGAGGTTGGACATTAGGAAAAACTTCCTAGCTGTCAGGGAGGTTAAACACTGGAATAAGTTGCCTGGGGAGGTTGTGGAATCTCCACCTCTGAAGATATTTAAGAGCAGGTTAGACAGACACCTGTCAGGGATGGTCTAGATGGTGGTTGGTCTTGCTGTGAGGGCAGGGGACTGGCTCGATGACCTCTCAAGGTCCCTTCCAGTTCTA